GGAAGCTCTGGGGTCCTAGGAGGATGCTTACGGACACCAACAACATCTCTCTCTCTCTAAGGGATCTCCTACGCAGCGGAAGAGCAGTCAGCAGTTGACATGGACTTTGGCAGGCACCCAGCCATCAGGACGTAAGGCTGACAAGGGTTCTGTAATAGCCAGCCTGCCCTGCCATTGGGGACCTGCTGGTGTTCACCGCTGAGGGCATGACCTGACTGAAGCTGTGATACAGGGGCCTCAGCCTACCACAGGCACCCCTCCAGCTTGCAGAGGCTTCTCAGAGCAGTGCAAGCCACCCAAAACCACACTCTGGCCCACACTGCTCCCTGTGAGTTCTATGAAAGAACGTACGAGGCTCTGACAGCAGTATGAGGCCAGAACATTTACCGGAATAGGCAGGGAATCCTAACCCTCTGGCTACTGTGCAAGGCCCTCCTGAAGAAAGCCAACCAGCCTATCCCTTCGCTGCCCTACCCTCACTCCTTTTTTCCACTTTTCGTAACTGCTGACACTATCCTGAATTGCACTGCACACAGCACTGAATTATTCCCTCCTTCACACATTATTTACCCTACTAACGATGCTGTAAGAACCAGAAGCGACGGGAAAATCCCAAATACAGTGCTACAAGCAAACAGATGAACACATGGACCCAGACCACTACCTTGCAGACCCATGACCCTGACTTACGCATCGCATGCTTTCCCTGAGCGGGTTCTTCCACGGGAACCTCCTCGCACGGTTGTGGCACAGTGTTTCCTTGCGCTCCCTCTATGGCCGCATTCTGAAGGCCCTCACATAACCGCCCCCTGGATGCGGGACATCTGATTCGCTCTGAACCGCGTGCCACAGTGCTCCCACCCTGCATAACATCTCCCTGGGAACTACATCTACATCGGAACTGAATCCTTCTCTGTACCAAGGCGGCTGCCAGTCCCTATATATTCTTACATATATTCCCTGTACATTCTTACGAGCAACTGAAATATTTAGTTTTTAAAGTTTTATGAAGATGAGCTGATTTTTAAACTCTGGTGACTCAGTTCATAGCATCAGCGGGTTAGAACTGGACAGCACCCTCCCCCCTGGGGCAAGCGCCCCCGCTTTTTTATCTGAAGTAACTTCACCCGCAATCCCATAACTAGTTCCCTGCAAACGGATCTGGCTTCAAAGCGGCTCTGCCTACACGGAGATAACTGCATAACAGAGGCTAACGTTACCGCCAGGACCTTCGGAGGCTACTGCTACTCCTTCTGCTGGGCTCCTGTTCTCTGGGAATGCCAAAGAGTACCAGATTATCTAAACTACGTCTACAGCTCTAATTCTTTTGTGCAGTTAAAATGTTAATGTTGGTATATAGCAAAGAAGAAGGAGCAAGGGAAGAAAGCTGACTATTACAGAGAACAGGCTTGTGCTCTCTGCAGCATCTATACCTCAGCGGGATTTCATGTACTAAAGCTGATACACACTGGGAAAGCTTTTCTCCGTGCAGAAGTGCAGTCCATTCACAGACACGAGCTCTTTTCCTGCCAACAAAACAAACCTTGAGATCTTTGCTTGCTGCCCCTTCTTCCAGTCTCTGTGTCCTGCTGTGTTTTTATTTCAGAAAAACGGTTTCAGTTCTCCTCACAGACAGCTTGCTTGAATGTTACGGGAAGTTTAAACTTGGGCTTCACCACTTTCATCTGTAGCGTCACGATGCAAAAGGACCCCCTAAAAGCAGGATGTCTGGCATTTCTATTCCTTTGTTTCACGTTTATGTATCCAAATAACGACTCCTCATCTTAAAATTTAGCCAATTTATGGTGATCATCCCTGAATCAACTACTGAGAGCAGTTGGAAGGAGCGAGGTAAGGGAGGAGAGAGCAAAGCAAAACACTCTACTTTTAGTACTGCTCTTTCGTTTTAGAAACAGATGATTTTCCTCTTCACCCTCCTTAGCAAGTGTAACACTTTCAGCTCCCCTTTAGAGGCTTCTGAGGAGGTGACAGGCACAACCAACAAACACCTTTTATTTTTTGCAGCAGTGCACATTCAGGACATCACCCTTGTTTCAGATAGATCAACGTTTGGACTACAGACTTCAATTCTAGTACCACGTATTTTTCCCCATCTTCTAAACTTGCCTGGCAAAGTAACCCAGTTATCTTCTCCGTTAAATAATCAGCACAGGGGTACCCGATAACCCCAGGTGCTAACGAGATGCAGGAAATGTTTTGGGTATTACACAGAGAGATGCACCTACGAAGATTTTAAGTAAACACTCCTTACACTGAATACATTAGGCTGAAAAATACTTAAGCCTTATCACCTTTATCTTTTCCTGTACTGACGAAGCCCTTTCGTAACAAGTGATCTCGTCAAAGCCAGACCTGTGTTATACAATTATGAAGGTCTTTGCAATTTTCTGGTATCCACAATAGGAATTCTCAGACTGGAGCCGTGCAGCCTGCAGACTGCCTGCAGAGCTTGCTGGGTCGCCACTTTCCACCTTCCATCAGTACCGCACGAACGGAAATCAAGGTATTAAATACTTTCCTAATACTGCCTTCTCACACGGGAAAGTGCTGTAGGGATTCCAGGAACTGTATTCTCTCAGCAATGAAAGAAGGTGGCCTGCCTAACGGTAACTGTGAAGGTAGGTATTAACAAAACTATTTTGTTGGTCAGAAAAGCCTAATAACCAGTCAATCTAAAAAAATACTTCCTCTTCCATGGGTAGTCCAGAAGTCAACACAACAGGCTAATACTTGCTACACCCCTTCCTGTGTATGTAAAACAGTTCAACTGAAGAATTTTCTTGCCTTGAGTATCACTCATGGCTATCAAATCTTGAGAGTTTTAAGATGATTTAATTTAGAAAGAAGAGAGTGTGGTTTCCAACAGCATACTGCACGTGCAAAAGGAACAGCCAAGATCAAGCATCTCCCGTTCGGTTTTTCAGATGAGAAGATAAAGACCGTGATGCTAGTGACTTATCTGACATACAGGATTAGCAACAGAAGAACAGAGAGCGTGCCTCCAAACGACAAGGCCTGGCAGTGGGGATACACCATACTCTCAACCCTCTCCATCTGCTACACATTCAGCATAAGCTCTATCAGAGCAAACATCCGAGACCTGCTGATCAGTCCAGCATCTGCCATCCTGACTCTGACCGAAGCTTTGCTGACCAACAGTTGGGTTGAAAACACGGCCTCCGAGTCACAGCCAGCAAAAGCGCAAACACCAGAGCCTGATCGTTAGACAGACGGACGCTCCTTTCGGCACCGGCTGCCCCGTGTCTGACAGCGCACGCACACCCGTGCAGAATGCTGTTCTTCTCGCTGTGCCGGTGTGACTCCGAGTACCCAGAGTATGCTGGCGCACACGTCCCTGCGTGTCTGAGCAACGACACACCGGACACGTGGCTGCGGATGGCCCTTCAGAGTTAAACCGGACTTGACACCGGCGCTAGCTCCACCTCTGACAGCAGGATGCCAGCAACGTATTTTTCTCTGCCGTTGGTCCAGAGTTAACAAGACACGCTTCTAAATACACAAACCGCAACCTAGCGAGTACCTTTTGCACTCAAAAAATGGTTGTGTAAGAGGCTGCAGTTTTTTGGACTTACCAGGAGATGGCGGCTGAATCTTGGGTTGTTTCTTAGTATCGCCAGTGCTGAAGACTTCTGGAGGGGGCTCCTCCCCTCGCTCAATCTTGCACTCGAAGGCAAACAGGTACTGAATGTATTGTTTTTTCAGGGAGCTGGCTGCGCTGCTCGAAGTGCCAACGTTCAAGGTGGTTGCCAGCTCACGCCACTTCTTGTTTTTATTAACCTAGCAAAATAAATGGCAGAATCGTTAGTTGGCAGCAAAGCAGTTTGTTTAAGCGAGGAGACAAAAAAGGGGAAACCCCCCCGACTTCACGTCTCCATTTACTTTTCTTATTTTCCTCTCTTAACTAAGGCTCGTTACTCCCACATGCAGTAATGTACAGACAGCATTTACAGTTATAAAACCATTAAGGAACCTGCTGATAGCTACATAAAATGCTCTGCTTGTGGAGAGCCTTCTGCATGGTGCATCTTTTAAATGCCCTGCACTCTTCCAAAGCCCATGCTCTTCAGTTGGCAATCCATCTCCAAGCAAATGCACACTCATTCTCCGCCTCTCCAACACCCACCCGCACCCACCCCATTCTAATTAAAAAGCAGCTTCTAAAAACGAATTTAGAAAGCCAGAACAGAGTAATTCTGCAATTTAAGTGTTTGAGCATTGATATGAAAAATAAATTTCTCTCCAAAATCGCCACCAGCTGCCAAACTGTTCTGCCTGTAATTTCTGGTTCAAGTCCTTTCACTTTGGGGCGTCTTGCGGGGACAGATCGATGATCCTTTGGCTAGACGAGAGGCAGAGCGAAGCGAAGCCCCTTCATTAATTAAAGCAGACTTCAAACACACAGGGCTCGTCCAGCAGCGCTCTGTATCACAGTGCTGACCGCACAACTCTGCTGCGAGTCTTGTTTGCAGCGTAAGGCTGAGAGTATCAAAAGACCGTTCACGGGTTGCTCCAACAGGGCTGATCCGTAACACCAGCGACGTGCACTTGTCACCCTGGATGATGCCACCGGCTCGCTCGGCTGTACCGCTCATCGCCACCAGTCTCTTTGCTGTAATACCTGATGCCCCCGAGTTCATTCAACCACTTGTGCAATTGCTAGCTATCATCCACGGAGGGGAGGCAGCGCCAAAATAAATGGGCTTTAAAGGTCCGAGCATCTCGGCTTTTCCTGGGGAAGAATCCCAATACTTTCGCGCCATGAGGACTGCTGCTTGCCCTGAGGCCTGAGGTTTTAACGACTCCAACTTAACTTGTATAGCTGCGAAGGTTATCATTAGCCACGCTGTTCCTAAGCCTGCGTGCCAGCAAAGGAAGCATTTCTTACGTTCCCCCCCGTGTTTAATAACACCCTAAGTGCTGCCAGTCAGCCAAGATCTTCTGAGGACAGCATTAAGAGCAGGCAGGTTGGCATGGCTGCGTGAAGCGTTTTTATTTCTCTGGTGCACCCTGCACGCACCCAGGAGTTAAAGCAGACGGGATTTTCACCAACTGCCCCCGCTGAGGTTCGAAATCCAGTTGGGCAGCCCTTCGTGCCCACTGGCCTGCAGCTACGCGGCGCTTAAGGAGCACACGGCGCAAGGCGAGCGGCAACATTCCTGCCTACGCGCCCAGCACGCTGGCGTTCGCGAGGCAGCTGCCAACAGCTGGGCTGTTCACGTCGGGACCCCATCAACTGCGGGGAGAGCACACGCACCACCGCTGCACAGCTCCGCTCCCTGTCACTCCTTGGGCAGAATCAGGAGACCTGGAGTGCAGCAGTCGGAGCAGCAGCTTATCAGGTGAGCGTCACGCGGGTGCATTTAAATACACCTCAGCAGCAGCCAGCGAAGTTCTGCACCCCTCAGTAGCCCCAAGGAGATGAACATGGTGATCGTGATGTGGGCACACCAGCCGGACCAGGAGCCTTTATTTTCGGTGTCAGTTTTTGCCAGTACTGGCGCACACCGATTTTAACGCAAGCTCTTTCAAAAATTAGTCTGAGCGAAACAGCATCTATTCTTTGGCAATGCGTAACGTCTGTCACTGCAAATCAACACTGAGTGCCCCCCCCAAAACCAGATTTCCATAATAACCAAACATGAATGACTCCTCAGAATATCCCATCTGCCCCCATCTTGCTTCATTTTTGATGTGGAGTGTCATGCTACGGGCACAGTCACGCTGTATGAGGCAGAGCAGCAGCACGATACGATTTACCTGTAATAAAGTTTCTGAGCTAAAAGTAATCAAGCCTTTATGATGCTGGGGGGCAGGAGCTGATCACTAAAGATGTCAGGGTAACATCTCTTACCCATATACAGCATTTAACAACTGGCAAGGTGAACTGTACTAGGTTTCCTTTAATAACAGAAATAGCTGAAATCTCTGGACTTGAAGGGCCCGTGACCTAATTCAGGAGTCAGCTGTGAGGTATACTATTCAGAACAGCACTGAAAATGGTACTAATTGATGCTGGTACTCATTTCCTTCTTGAACTAACCACACAGATTATTACAATGTGCTCTCCTTCCGAGGATTTGTGTGCCATGTCTTTGAGTTCAGATTTTGTAGTTAGTGTACAAATGTATACATTTAAATACTAAATATTTATCTATTTTCTCTCGAATTTTGCATATACGTATCTATCTACACAGCTATGCTTAAGACCTCATCATGCAAATCCTGTAAGCATTTTTCAAGCAGAGGGAAAGCACAGACCCTGTCTAAAAAACAAATGTACCATACAGAGACACTCAAGAGATGAAAAGCTGGGACGAAGGACTGTGTTTCAAGAATGTATCTGCCACTTCTCTGGAGCCATCAGTTGATCCTTCCTAAAGGCTGTATCCCTATCTGGGAAGGATAGATCTAAAAATCTCCTTTTTCTTCCAGATTTATGTGGTTTTTTTATCCAATGGCCTCTTCCTGTTTTGTTTATTCAGTGGCACTACTGGATTCCCTGAACAGGTAACAATTTCACCCATCTATACCAATGGTCAAAATGAACTCCAGACAAATATTAAAGCACAAATTTCTCTTTTTTTTCAACAGTCTTGTCAGGGCTGAAGATGTAACCAGCAGCAAATACTCCAGGAAAAATACGTGCACCACCTTTTCAAAAGGTTCACTTTCAAGCACTCCTCCTCACCTGTGCCAAACCTCCAATCTCTTTGACGCAGACATAGAGCCTGAACAGGTCCAGGGGCTTCTTGCCCACAGCTGGCAGACTGGCCACAGGCGTGCCCCTCTCCTCCATGAACGTGAGGTACCGATCTACCCACATCTTGCGCTCCGGCTCGTTTCCTAGTTCATAGACCTTTGTGATCTTCTCTCCAGTTGTGGTAGAGGAACTTGACTTCTAAATCACGAGAAGAAAAGAAAAGAGTTGGGGGAAGGGTGGGAGGGGGAGGGAAGAGAAAGTAAGAAACTCACAACACTGAAAAAGAGAAGATGTCAAACAAACTAAAGCTATCACACAACAGTCAGGAATGAAGGCTACTAGTTCAGGCACAAACAGTACATTCTGTCCATATACGGAAAATTCAGCTTCTTAAAGAAAGGGCCCAAACTCCCTATTTTCATATTTGTTTCACTGATGTGAACTTTGGATCCCAGAAGGCCAGTTTCTGATGTTGCCTCATGTCATTTTAAGAAGAGGTAGCTCTCACATAGTGCTTCTTGTCCACTTATCTCAAAGTGCTTCGTAAGCAACAATTTGGGTACAATTTAAACCCGGTTTGTCCCACACAAGTTGACACAATCCTGAAACCAAACCAAATCAACCCTAACCCTCCACAAAGGGGCTAGAAAACCTGAAAGTATTCCTCCAGAACAGGGGTTGCACAAAAGTAGCCTGAAGCAGGCTAGTACACGGAGGAGCGGTACTCCCTTCAGACTCACAAATGGTTGCGCTTTACCACCTCTTCACACCACTGCTGGCCAAAAAGCAAGATGAGCAAGAGTGCCCACAGTACGAGGAGACCGGTGGCAATGTGCTTTGTGAACTGCCAATTAGCTGCCTAAGCACTGCTGGCTCACGACTAGCTACCGCTCTCCTCCCTTCGAAGAGGACAGCCCTCTCACACGTCCTAACCTTGAAAAGAGACGGTGTGTTGTGACCTGGGAAAACCAGGGATGCAGAATGATCAGAGCTGAACCACCACCAGGGTAAGCAAAGAGGTGGAAAGAGCAGAATTCTTTCTCACGTGGCAGAAGCGCAGGAGTGAAGCCCTTTTTCCTGCTGCCTTTTGGGCTTTATAGTTAAGGAAAGCTCATGTTATCTTGATGCCCTTTTCTCCTCTATGTGGAGATGGCAGAAAGCACCAAGGCTGCTAGGAAAGTTGGAACTTCTCACTGTACCTTTCCTGGGTGGCACAACCCCGTAAGCTGGGCTCTGTGCCACGTGTGGTCGGACTGCAACCTGCCCGAGCTGCCCCTGATCCGGCAGAGGGGCTGCTGCTGCTGCAGGAACACCCTCCTGCTTGCAGAAGGGGAAGTGATTTGCTCAGCAGTGGAAGAGGAGAGTGGCTTAGAATCAAACACAAGAGAAAAAGGCTGAGATAAAGCTTTGGGAAAGGAGCCAAATATATGCAGGGAAACATATCCTTTACGTCTGCACAGTAAATGTGAAACTTGGTTGTTGATTGCCGCTGACACTTCTTTAAACTCATCTAGTCAATCACTCTTT